CGGTCGACCGAGAGCTCCATCGGTCGACCGCACCGGTCGACCGGATAAGTGTTTGCTTGATTTCCTGTTTTCGACCTGGATAACGGTCGACCGAACTTTCCATCGGTCGACCGAATTTTTCCATCGGTCGACCGACGGAATTTTCGGTCGACCGACAATATAGCCGTTGCTTTTTAACGGCTCTTTCTCTGAGCTGTTTGCTGGGGTTTTTGGTCATTTTGTTTTGGGGGTTTTTGCTGAGATTTCTAGTGGGTATATATACCCCATTGCTGATGTCTTTTCAAGTGAGCCAAGAGAGTTTAAAAACAAGTTTAAGAGAGTTTTAATCAAGGGTTTATGTTTGGTTTAAGTGTGTTTATAAGCTTTTAAGCATTTGAGTGTTTTGGTTTTGTGAATCACTTCCACAAGAGCTTGAGGAGATCATCTATTGGTGTTTGAGCATCCAACTCTTCTCCTTCCACTCTTGATCTATTGAGAAGTTTTCTAAACTCAATCTAGCTTCATATTTTATATTGTTTGATTATCTTTTTATTAAGCTAGTGTTCATATTGAGTTTAGTTGATTTTATTATCTCTTTGTTCACACACAACCTATTGAGCTTATTGTATTTACATTCATAGTATAATTTTGGGTTGTGAGATTAGTGACTTAGAGTTGTGCTTAATTGAGTTCTCACCTTGTTTTAGAGAACAATCAATTGATTTATATTGTGCTTAATTGTGAGGATTCACTTGTAATACACTTGTACACCGAGAGAAGTGTGTGGTGAGAGACGGGGTCGAATCCAAGAGGAGTGGCGTCGGTTGACGTGCCTAGGGAGAGGTTGTAACCGAGCACTTGAGGAGGAGGACACGGGCTAGGACCAACACTTAGTGTGTGAGGTGTGATTACATAGTGATTGTATTGTGAGGTGTAAACGTTGTTCGGGTGAACGTAGAAAACCCGGTTGTGATAGTGGAGATCTCCTCGAGGTGAGGAGCGGGGACGTAGGTCGTGGGGACCGAACCTCGTAAACATATCGTTTTGTTTGTGATTGCATTGGCGTTCTTATTCTTGTTTTCATATCTTATATCGCCTTTGTGTATTGCTTATCATATCACCCTATCACTTGTGTAGATTGTTTATTTTACCCTTGTGTTAGTTCATATATCCTTGCTCATATTTTTGTAATACCTCTTTGATAGGATATATTCATTTGTTCATATTGTTTATCCTAGCTTACGTATCTTGTTGTATTTTATACTTGCTAGGATAACTTATTAATTAGTTTTAATTGGCATTTAATCGGATTAGATTAGCATAAGACCCTAATCACCCCCCCTCAAGGGGTCTAACACTCCACAATCCGAAATTAATCTTGCCGTCGAACTTCGGAACATCAATCTTCATATTATTGATGCTCAAACTATGTATCGTCTTCGTAAGAGACGATCCCGATGTGCTTGTTTCACCCATATTGTCGATCTAATCTTCAAATAAGAATCCTTCAGCGAATCCTTCAAACAAGCTCCCAAGTCCAACCCGGAGCTCTGATACCACTTGTTGTGCGCAGCGATTGATTTGGTGAGTAGACACTATTTGTTTTGGGTGAGTGTTCGCACTCCCGTTTGGGCAGATATCTCATCAAAGTGAGATATCAGCTCTTTCTCTCGTCAGCTCTAGGACTGCGCGTCGAGGGAACCTACAAGCTATTACAAATCACGACAAGAACACAAATTTTACGTGGTTCGGCAAATAGCCTACGTCCACGGGGCAAGGAGGGGGGAGATCTACTATTAGAGGGAGAGAATACAAATAGGGTTTACAATCACTCAAACTAAACCCTTAAACAAACTCTCAAACCTCTCATACAAATATCTCTCTCAAAAGGATACACAAAACCCTAAAAGAAACTACACAAAATCTCCTCAACACAACTACTATTTTTCTCCTGCAGCCGCCAAGAAAACCTCCTCGCGCTGTTGGCTTCTGTTCCGCAGCCGCACAAAGAAAAAAAACCAGAACCTCCTTTTTCGCTCAACCCTAGGAACAATTTCTGTTCCTATTTATAGCAGCAAACATCGCATGTGTGTTGGAGAAAACGTGTGCTTGTGACCAAAACGAAATTGGGCTCACACGGAGGTGGAAAAGCCCATGACTCACGCTTAAATGCTTTATGGGTGGACCCCACACCCACGTGATCACACTGAGTTCCTATTAACAGAACAATTAATTCAATAAAAAAGACTACACCATAGTTACACAAATGCAATTGGTATACAACCAGAATTTCCATAGTCCTCATCACCTCATTTCCAATTATTTTCTACACTCATAAGCATCAAATGGACAAGATAACAAAAGCTATACTAAAACACAGCTTGGCTGAAAATTGTTTATGTAAAATATGAAATTGATTTCGAACTATAAATCAAAGTGATGAAATAAAGCACATACTCTTCTCTCCCAATAGGGATGAAAGCAGACAAAATCATAGACCGGAGTGATCGTAGAGGCCAGCACCAAATTCACTCCCATGAATACTAGTAGCCCCGTCATTTGCCGAGTTCTGTGAGGCATCTCTCTCCCTTGCTCGATTCCTTTAAACAAAATTTCAAACTTTCAACTGATTCATTCTCAAATTAACAAAACAATAAAACTAATGAATAAGAACTTGCATTGCAGTGAACCATATCATTTCAGGAAAATATGAATACACAAATATGTATCCTTCAATAGCAATTATTTCTCATCCACGACCAACAATAATTTGTTCACATCATTTGAGCATCAAAAATTCATCTTATACATATGTTTATGCTTTAAAGAAATCAAATCCCAAGCCAAAAGTTTAAAAATACGAAACAAACTTATTCTAGCATTGGCACTTATTTGATACTTATGGCCAGGGTTAGATTAATGAGACGTATGTGATATTTGTTGGTGCTGCGGAAATTAGCATATAGTATTCATTATGCTGTCACCTACTCATGTCATATGTCATTTTAATATCTCTCTAACAAGACTTTGTTTCTTCTATTGATCTACTTTTTTTAAACAGATAGGCCTCCATCACAAGATAACTGATGATTTAATGATCTACCCTGGTTAGTGGTTAAGGGATAATTAGTAAAAGAGGATGATATGTATGTTCACTGCAATAACCAAGTAATCTGAGGAGTGGACTTTTAAATCAAAGAGTATGTAGACAACAAACTGTACTTCATGAGGCAAGTGTCTCATGGCAATAGATTTGACCAGATACTTTAGCTAAAGGTATCAAGGTGAACATCACGTAGGTGTCATAATATGGTCTTTGTAAATCAACAAAGTATATTCTTAAGATGTACACCATAAATATATTCTAACTGAAACCAGTCCACATAAAATAAAAAAAATAAAAAATAAAATAGAAAAAAAAACTTCAGCATCGTCCTTCATTTAGAGAAATGACAAACGAGCGAAAGATAAATAAAAAAGCTAATTTCTCTACCAGACAATACAATCAATTCAAAAAAATTTGATACGCAATGCATGATCTGAAGATAATCAAGAGACTTAAGGAACATTCAACTTTTAAACAACAACTATTTATTCTAAAAACACCAAAATTACCAAACATTAGACAGTTCACAATACCAAATCAGGAAAAAGAAAAGGACCAATAACCATGAGAAATCTCCAAAAATGTACAGGCATGCAATAGCTTAGATTATACAAGAAAAAAATAAGAATAAAACTTTCCAAACACAAGGCGTGGCTCATTCTTATACATATGTATATGCTTTCATTGAATCAAATACCAAGCTAAGAGTTTAAAAATACAAAACAAACTTATTCTAGATAGCAATCATTTGAGAGACTTCGGTAGATTTTTCTATATGCATTAGAAGCAAAGCACCGTACATGCACTATAAGTCAACTGAACATCTTATGCATCAGCATGCAACATAATCCTAATGATCCTAAACTACTGAATCCTGCATGCCAAGTCAATAATTCTTCATGAAAACTCTTCAAATATGTATTACAGGAATCATATCTGAAATTCAACTTGAAGAAACAAAAAACTTAAATTATACATCAAAGGTATCGTAAGGATGAGCAAGGCAATGCTAATCACTGTAGAGGATAGCTTGACATAGAAAATTGAGGCAATGCTCACACATACGCTAACTATCTAACTACTGGAGCAAAAATAGAACAAGCGATCTGATCCTTACCTACGCCGAGCAATCCACTAGAATATTAAGTGTGCCCCTTCAACAAGTGTAAAATCTGCAAAAATGAGAATTGTAAAAATTTACAAATCCTGGACATACATATAGAACAAAAAAGAGATTGATTAAAAAAAAGGCATCATCTTTCACGCATGCAGATAGAGAGCAGGTAATGAGAAAAATGACAATATCAACAAGAGCAAGAGGAACTGATATCGAATGAGCCAGAATGAGAGAATTAGATCAATCGCAGCCTCAGCCATAACCAATCGGGTGAAAGCTCGAATCCTAAAATCCCAATTTTGGACCTAGGTTGAGGGTTTCGGAGATAAACCAATCGAGAGAATAGAGTTTGAATGTAGGATTTAGGGCTTCGGTGGGGCTGGAGATGGAGGATCGAGAGGATCTCACCGTTGTTGATTATTGCCGTCGTCGCCGGAGGTGAGATTAGGGCTCGCAGCCGTTATCGATGATCGTTGTCGTCGCCGGTTGGATGTAGGAGTTAGGTCTTTGGTGGAACTGGAGATCGCAAGCATATGAACGATGAAAGAAGAAATTTTCAAAACAGACTCAGCACAGTTTTAATTTTTAAAATTGACTCATTTTTTTTTTTACAAAAATCGACTAACTTTTTGTTACGGTTTAATCTCATTTCTAAACAGTTGGGATTAGCAACACCGACTGTTTAGGAGGTTGTTAAATCTCAATTAGAGGTCTTAAACTCAATTTTTTATGTCCTAAATAGTCGGGGTTGGCAACCCCAACTAATTAGGAAATGAGATTAAGCTGACATAGTAAAAAATGAATCGATTTTTATAATAAAAAAGTCGATTTTAAAAATGAAAACTTGGTTTGAATTTGTTTTGAAAATTTCTTCAATGATAAAAACTTAAAGATTTCAGGGACGGTGGCAAACAGTGGCAAACATATGAAAGATTTTAAATTAATAAGGGGAGAGAGAAAAGTACATTTGAAGGGACTAAAATGCAAATATTCATATACTTGTCCTTTTACCCGAGAACCCGACCCGATATTTATGCAGTTTTCTCCGACTCGTTGAATCCAAAAGCTAGGGTTTATGGGTTTGGGGGTTAAAAATCACAGCTTTTTTCTTTCAAATTTTACAATCCAAAGAGGGGTCTGCGGATAAGTAATATATCAACTGCCCAGCACTCTCACAGGTAAAATTTCTACTTTTATCATCTCATCATTTCATTGTTGCAATATTCTTGTCATTTTTACTTGATTTACCCTAAAAAGTCGTTTTGCTAATGGTCCATCAACAACTCGTCAAATTCTCAGTCGTTTATAGACTAGATAGTAAATGTGAATTTTGCAATGTGGAAATTTTGAAGTTTTTGATTTTTTTTTCCTGAATTTTGTATTGCTTTTTAGTGATTTTTTAATATAATACATTGGAATCAAGCCTAAAACTTCATACTTTTTTTAGCCCAGGTATTCAATGGAATCTTTGAGTTCAACTCTACTAACCAGACTCTCTCCCATCACGAACATTAGCTATACATCACAAAAACCTCAGGTCTCCTCTTTCATTGTCTCGTGCCCAAAACTAAATCTCAGAAAATCCCATTTGGCTGCAAAACTAGGATTGCATATCATTGCAAATGACACGAGAGGGTTCAAGTTTCGCAACAGTTTTCAAGAAGCTGAGAGTTATGTGGGCAGTAAAAGTGCAATTAGAAGGAAAAGGCTTGCAGTTTTTGTTTCCGGCGGAGGTTCGAACTTTCGGTCGATTCATGAGGCTACATTGGGTGATTCAGTTCATGGAGATGTCGTGGTTTTAGTCACGGATAAACCTGGTATACTTCTTTTCTGCGCATTTTTTGCAATTAGGAGGGAGGAATAATTTCTCATGCTCTACGAACTTATGAATGTTTGATATAAATCTTCATGCTTCTTATGGGCAGGAAATGAATTCAATCAGACATTGAGATTTTCATATTTGTATTCATATGAAATCTTAAATCTGAATATTAAATATGTTTATTCGATTTTATAATCTATTGTTTATCAATATGAAATTATCATGTTAAAGAGATATTCCTGTTTGATTAAAGAATTTGGTTGTTTTAATAGTATTTAAACTTAACTTTGGAAATTATTCCTTTATGATGTATAAATCTTCGTATTGAATGTGTAATCAAAATTTTTATCTAAGACTCTAACATCTATCACGATAAGTATAAAATGAGCAATAAAAAATGTACGTTGGATCAAAATATGACATCATGTAAGTAATAATTAAAATATCAGGTATTAAATGTTCTGCAGGATGAAGAGTACTCTTTCTTCCTTTCTTCCCTTTTTGTTCACGCCACCAATATTTTTGCAAGTTAACTACTTATTTCATACTGTATTAGAGTTTAAAAGCATAAAGTCTGCATATTGTTTACTATGGTCTTGTAATCAGAGATGTATTCCATTTGAATATCAGGTTGTGGTGGAGCTGAATATGCAAGAAATAATGGTATCCCTGTCATATTGTTTCCTAAGACCAAATCCTCACCCGACGGATTATCAGCTGATGACCTTGTCGCTACTTTAAGGTGAAGAATTTGTCTTGGTAAATTTTATGATAAACTGAACAGTTCACATTTTTTTGCCCATTTTCATCCCTTAAGCCTGTTTGGAAATTCTCCCACGAACTAGGTTAGTGGAGTTAACCTGCTTAAGAACTTGAAATGTGTTTGGCAAAATTGGTCCATGATTGGACCAGTTTTTTTTAGTTCAAAAAAGCCTCTTATCTAGGTTACCTTTGGATCATCCTCTACCATAGTTCAATCCTAATCTTATCTAGTTTAAGGCCTTAACCGCAAGGTTCTAAAGCACAACAATTACTTTGATTTTGCGGTGATTAATCGGATTATGTAGAATTATGCGTTTTTTTATATATATAAATATTTATCAATATAAAAATACAATAATTCATGAAAAATATAAACATTCTAAGCAAAAGACTAACAATAATATCTCAAGCTATTTAAATCGAAATTGTTATACACTTAAAGTAAAACTACTAACACCTCGTTTGGTATGCGGGAATAGGTGAGAATGGAATGCTCATTCCCACTTCTCAATCATGCATGTTAAACACAACATCGTTTTAGAAGTTAGAATGCCCATTCCCACTTCTTATTCATTTCCACTTTATTTGGGAATAAGCATTCCTGATTAGATGGTAAGGAAATGGGTATTCTCATGTATGTGTGGGGGAAAATAGAATATTGCCTTGATTGGTTATTAATTATTAATACCCAAAATATACAAGATATACATTCCACTTCATTCCCTAATTGCACCCAAATGTCATAATGGGAATGAGTATTCCATTCCTGCACTTATATCATTCCATTCCTTATTTCTTTCCATCACTTGACTTGATCTCGCGTACCAAATGAGGCCTAAAAGTTCACACTTCACAAACTAAAAACACTCTTATAAGTCGTAACACTTTAAATACCTATAGAATATGGAGGTGGTGATCAGAGACAACTGGTGACGGTGGAGAGGAGAGTGCGTGGGGGTAGCTAGGTTTAGAGTTTTGAGCTAGCAATCGAGAGATTTTAGGGTAATTAAGTGTGGTTAGGGTCAGATAGTGCACATTATGTGCCCGTATAATGAATTATGCGGGTGCATACTCTTTAACCGCTCGATTATGCGGTTTGATGGCAAAATCGAGCGGGTTTCAGCTACCCAACACGTTTTTGTGTCGGGTAGGAGTACTTGGGCGGTTAGAGCGTGGTTTTGAACATTGCTTAACTAGATTACTTCGAAGTTGCCAAACACACCCTTAGACCTTAAACATATGCAACAGGCTTTGAACAATCTTATTCTATGAACACACACCATTAAAATAGTAATGTATGGAAGAGCAGAAGTTTCTTTTTATAGATGCACTAGGAGTCTAGGACAGATATATATTTATGAGTTAGGCCACCTTAGATAAAAATGCAACAAATGATTGTTTTTTATTGTTGACAGGAATCTTAATGTGGATCTGGTTCTCCTTGCTGGTTACTTGAAACTCATTCCCAGTGAATTGGTTCAGGCTTATCCGAGATCAATATTAAACATTCATCCTTCTCTTCTTCCAGCTTTTGGAGGCAAAGGATTTTATGGTTTAAAGGTGCATAGATCTGTCATTGCTTCCGGGGCAAGGTGAGGCAACAATCTTAACCCACAAGACGAAGCAAATACGACAACAAATACAGTGATATGAACGTCCTCTTCATCTATTCCTAACGAGTTATACTATCTTTTGATCGTTGCCCTTTATGAACTTTCTATATGATGAGGCACTATGAAGTTTTCTTGCTAAAGGTTTTTGCATCACACTCTTTTCTCTTTTTTCATGCACACATATGCAAATGCACACGTCATGCCTACTTTGCTTTTGTCCATCCTATTTCTTTTATGTCTGCATTCCATGATCCTGCTAATGATTCCACAAGTAAGTGCTAATAAATGAGTTCAATTTTTTTGTTAATTTTCATGGCGAAGGAGCAAAATGATAAGGAAAAAAATCAATTCATTGTCCTTCACGTTAAACCATAATTTTCCTTTTCTATCTTACATTCTTACATAAAAAATGCCATAACAGACTGGAAAGTTTATGGGATAAAGCCTCTATTCTGCTTATTACTGTTGTTGTTGCTTACTTGCTGCTGATGCTGCTCTTGGTATTGTGTAATCCTTCTAATATATATTAATTTCTGTTGAGTTTTTTCATTATCATGTTTTATGTGTCTTATAACCCATACTTTAATATGCAATTCTTGTATAAATATTACTTTTACTGAATTTTGTTCATTTCATGATATTGATTTAGGCTTCAATAAAAACTGACTTAACTCACATAAATATTCTTTTCCTAGGGGAAGCATTATATTTGGTAAAAGAAATTATTCACTGCTAACACATGATATTAACTGTCCACTTCAAAATAGATTAGCTCCATTTTCAACTTTAATTTCAAGTTCAATTCCTCCTTAATTTTTTGCAGGTATTCGGGTCCTACTGTCCACTTCGTGGATGAACATTTTGATACTGGTCGTATCCTTGCTCAGAGAGTTGTTCCCGTGTTACCAAATGACACTGCAGAGCAGTTGGCTGCTAGGGTCCTACATGAGGTAACATACTCTGAATAATTTTATACTTTATACCAATGAACACAAACTATAAGATTCATCACCAGCAACAGGTATCTTAAAATAATTTTGCAATCTGAGAAGAGGTCTGGAGCTACTTTTGTAGCCAAATAAGTCATTAAAATTTTTTACTGGCCAGAACAATACTGTAATATTTATGATACATGTTTTAAAATTTTGCTGGCATTCAGTGTGCATGCCATACGCAACAGAGAAATAAATGTACTTAATGACGAAATCCACAATAAATGATTACTGAACTATGAATACACTTAACGACTACTGTACCATGCCCTCAAGTTATATTAAGCTAGGAGGATACTTGATTTCCTCTCAATTTGGATGCATCGGGTAGTTGCGCAAATAAATATACAAAAATCATGCTGATTTGGAACTCAAAGATGGTTGACACCAGGTTAACAACCAATTTAAAGCTGTCTTGCAGTGATATTATTTGAGCAAAATAGTATAGCTACGATTACGATGCTAAAATCTGTGCTATAATATTTTTTTCCTATTTGATTCTTACAATTGCTGGCCGTTTCTAACCATGAATTCTTCATATTGCAGGAGCACGAAGTCTATGTAGAGGTGGTTTCAGCTTTATGTGAGGAGCGCATAGTTTGGAGAGAAGATGGTGTTCCTCTTATAAGAAGTAGAGAGAATCCTGATGAATACAGTTAATTATTGGCTTGAGATCCATTTTTCTCTGATCTAAATCATACTTAATAATTTTGGGGTTATTTTTCACTTGACCCTTGTGACAATCAAATACAAAGTAGATCGATAATTGTATCGATACTGAAACAATTTAAAAAATGTGGCTATAAACTAGTCACTTTTGTTATAACAGACGTACGCAATAAACATGTGTAATATGTGTTGAAAATCTCTACAAATTTCATATCATATTTGTCATAGTTTATAAAACTTTGTTAGTTTTTTCTTTAAAATAACAAAGACCTCCTATCAAAAGATAAATCTAATTTTTGTGTCTCCCCTCCCATCACCTTCCCTCTTACCAAACCCACACTCTGTTTTGATGGGCGTGAGTGGTGGGGGGCAAGGAAAGACAAGATAAGAACTTTGTTTGCGAGTTTCACCCCAAAAATTTTTTTTTTTTGTTTTGGTGGCTAGGACAAGTTAATTTCCAAACAAGGATAAAGAGTCTCCTAACCTTCTCCTATCCCTCATTACCCCCAATCCAAATAAACCCTAACTTTCCTTACCATTTGTTACCCTCCCTTCCCCAATTTATACTTTTACATTTTCCTTTCCATATTAAACTCGGATTCGGATCCTCTCTGCAATAAAAAAAGTAGTGGAGAGACCACTACATAATCACAATCATTAATTATTTAGTCGGTCGTTGTAATTTTTTTCTTCGAGTGTAAATTACAAGAGAGTGTAATACATGAGGATATAGTAAAATGTCACACTTAAATTATATTAGAACCACCTACAAAATAATCAAACGGTTAAAATTAAACATTGTCCAAATTCATTGAACTCCCAAACATATAATGCCAGAAAGCACAAGCGACGATTGCAGGCCTCTTTACCGAACCAAGGCTCCACGTACCACCCCTAAAACAGAACGAGATTCAGCGGACGCAGGAGAAGTACGAGATCTCCGTCGCCGAAGATAAGTGATGGTTGTGTTTTTTTTCTCTTTCAAATTCTGATTTTGATGGTTCTGCGCTTCGAAAGGAGGGAGCTTTGGATGAGGGTTCGTGTTGTTTGATAGTTATATAGCTTGTTATGGTAAATGCTTGTTTACTGAAATTATTTGACTAGCAAATCTATATAAATTGTTTGCCTCTTTGGAATTGTTCCATGCTACTTAAATCTATATAAAATTACATGCATGCCCACCCACAAACAAAAAAACACACCACAAAAAAAAAATATCCTGGCGGCTTCGTTACTGATCACAGATCATAAAGAGCACCGACACAACCGCAGGAGCAGCGCAAGAAGTGTGCACCATTCCTGACACGGCCAAGTAATTTACGTCCCTTTTTCGCCACGGTCGACAGCGCAGTTCTCTTCTTAATTACTGCAAATTCTTCCCTTCCTCCGTCGGCAAGTACTTGGGCCAGCCTCCCATCATTTTAAGCGTCTCTCTAGGATCTATACTTTATTCTCTCTTTCTGTTTTAAAGATAGGCGTTAAGGTGAGTATAAACGTACGAGATAAAATCATGTATCATTCGGAGAGAAACTGGTTTCCTAGTGCACCCCATATTCGAAATACTGCGAGCTGAGCTACACTGCTAATGACGATAGTGATGCTAATGATCTAAATATTGTGCCGTTTGGCCATGCTTTTTCGTTACGACTGCAAATCTAATGTGTTCTTGACGGCCTTTATTTTGCCGGTATGCGTTGATCGTTTGCTTTTACGAGGTTGCCGGTATGTGATTCTCTATATGAAGGGGTGTTTTCATATGATCCCATCGACGAACGCTAGAAATTAAGAGTAATACCCGGCCGGCCGGTTCCTTATTATTATGTTTTTAAATTTCTTTTTTGCCTAATTGCAAAATTTCATTAAGGATTGCCAAGAGATTAATCCAGATATTGTGAATGTAGATCTTACTTAGTACATATATATGGAAATTATATATACTCATACAAACCATGTATATGACTGTGAGCATTGAAAATGAATATTTTTTTTTATTTGTCGACCATTGAAGGATAATACTCTCCATATATAAACAAAATTTTGTAAATTATCTATAGAACTCTCACAGTAAAGAAAAATTATAGAAAATAATAAACAAAATAATAAGATCACTATACTGAACTTCTGTTCACATTAGAAGATTGAAAATTGTTTGACTAGAAATAAAAGGGGATAAAAATATCGTCACTTTTAAAATTCAAAAAAAATATTGATATTTGATATATAGTGCTTAGTATAATCGGAACAAATTCTCCTTTCTTTAAGGATATCTTAGATCATCTGACGTTCTTGCATGCTTTCGTGTAACAGAAAGAACACGACAGTGATTCAATTTCTATTGTAAAGCATCATATTCTTGAAAAAATACGGAGATGTGTTATAGCCATTGGGATATGGATACAGGTCCAACACTGTATAATGAAATTTAGGATGATCACACCGCATTGAATGTAAACGGCATTTAGGAATATTCAGCAAAAAAAAAAAAATTTACCTTGAGCGAAAATTATACACTTTGTTATTGCCATGTTGCTTGGCTGCTGACAATCTTGATACAACGGCTGGAATCAAACCTTTGAGCAACACAGATTGTTAGAATTCAACGGGTTCAGGAGTTTTGATTGACTTTTGGTTGAAATCTCACTTATCCAAGGTCTCTTTAACTAACTGTATTGATTTCTGGATTGTGATATTTATTATGTGTATTTCGTTCGTAGCTTAATTATAAGTACATGACTAGCTGGACTGGGATGTTTTGATCTTGTATGCGAGATTGCAGGTGCATGTGGACAAGTTTGAGTCAGATTTTGAGGACATTATTAATCTGGAAATGTACGTCAGTATGAATCTTAGCAGCACAGTTCTTGAACAGCTTGATGTCTGTAAATATACTATATATTTCATTTTTATAAAATTTCAATTGAATTTTACACGTGCCAACTGCTCATCTCTCTCTAATGCATTTCTTTGGCATACCTTAGAATCTGATGCGGTATTTACATCTAATTAGCACTTCTGTCTGCAAATCAACCTTGAAGGCTGATTTCAACCATTCCTTCAGCATCCTCATCTTCTTCAGCTTGGCCGATCACCTCCTCGCCCCTCTCTCTAAACGACCTGATCCCTTCACCCGGCGAACCAAAGTTGAGGTCAGAAAGATTCACGCTAACCGGACTCTGTGAACCTACATTAGGCGTGGTCGCTGCAGCATCTCCGACAATATTATTGCCGTTAATCGAGCTCCCATCGTTAATACTGGCGGCGTAATCCTTGAAAGTGTGAGAACTGAGATCTTTAGTATCATAGTACCGAGCCCATTCTTTGATTTTCGTCGATAGGGAAATCTGAGACGCGGTGATCTTGAGCCCACCCCATTCTCTGTACAGGAAAGTGACTAGGAAGATGAGGAGAGCGAGGGAGGAGACGCACCCGGTGATGAGGAAGAGGCCGCACAGGAAAGTGACTAGGAAGATGAGGAGAGCGAGGGAGGAGACGCACCCGGTGATGAGGAAGAGGCCGCCGAAGCTTCGGAAGTTGAGGCTGCTGGAGGTGACGCTGCTCGTGTCGGAGGGGCAGGTGGTTTGGTCGCCGAACCATTTTTTCTCAATTTCGGCCATGATATCGCCTTCGGTTACATTGAGTATGGCTCTTGAGACGTCTGATACAAGAGGGGAGCCTCTCGGAAAAACCTGAAAGATTCGAAAGAATGCGCCAATATTGTTAGAAACTTGTGATATGGAGGACGAGTGTTTGCTTATTACATGGCAGGCAAGATACTTAAAATTATGTTAAAAACTGCTGATTACATGGCAGACAAGATACTTGGGTTGCATTGTTATCGTTTCATATAAATTGTGATAAAAATTGCTGACTATATATATAGCATGTGTTTAACATTCATATGACGATAATTCTCATTAACTTACAAATCCAAACCCGTCGGTCTTGTAAGTCCTGCCCACCATCGTATAATCCTGGCAATGCTCCGACAGGAACAGCTTAAGGTACGGTATCTCGTCGAACATTGCTGCCACTCCTCCGTTCTTGCTGCCGAGAGCGAGAGCCTCAGCGTACTCATCAAGGCTACTGTAGTTCTTGAGCTTGTTCTCCTCGAACTTGAGCTGCTGCTTCAGGAGCCCCAAGACGAAGGACCCATCTTGGTATCCGATGTGGTCGCCATTCTTGATGAGCTCGCTCAGGTCGGTGACTGCTGGCTGCAGCTGCTGCACGGTGAGCATCGATGTCAGGCTGGCAGTGTAGCTTGATGTTAGTATCAACACGACGAAGACCCAGATGATCACTGCGAACCTCGACAGGTTGCTCTCCAATCTCTCCTCTGCGCACACAGAATATTTTTAGTTACATGCAAGCCAATCCATCAAAACTTTAAAGTTTTGGTGAGAATTAATGATTATAAATTTTTCTTTTGGGGTCATTTATAGATGCACCTTCTGTACGATGAAGTTTTGGTTATCTGTACTATATATCTCAATTGTTTAATTTGTACTCAAGCCCTTTAAACTCTAGGCGATCTGTTTTATTTTGTCTGCTTCAATATCAGGTGAGAATCACATGGGAGTAAGTTACCTTTTTTTCTCAGTTTAATTGGAAATAACTAATTGCCCTATGTACATCCAGTGCCAGGATGTGTAAGCACTAGTAAAAATATTTTAGAGATAAGTGGCTTCATCATCACGGTACATCGAGTGTATCTCTAAACTCTGTGCTCTAGTATGTCCTCGTTCATCGAGCATTCTTTTCATGAACTTAAACCGTAGCTCATGTAGAGATATCTTTTTTAATCAGTTTTTAAATACATGACCGATGAGATTTGAACCTGATTTGTTTTGATTTCGTATTAAAGTCCATTTCAATGCGTTAGAAACTTTATAGTACCTCAAAGTTTTGATGCGGTTGAAAGGTGTTTCGTGACATTAGACATGCTAAAAATCTAGTTGTAAATATGCGATTGACTAACAACGTATCTTACTATGAGCGAAGACTAGCGTGGAGAAGGCGAAGTAGAAAATGGTGCCCATCTGCTGCGACGGAGGCCCTCGAAACTCCATGTTGATGCGATGCTCGATCACCCACACGACGAAGCCAGTGAAGAAAAAGAAGGCGAGGCTTGCGAGCCAGAGATCAGTCGTCAAGGGCTTTAAAAAGATCCATGTGTTCTTGCTCTTGTCCTCTTTCACAGGGACAATCATCGAC